CAACCTACCAATCACCAAAACCTCAGGTTTTCTGTGGATCCATAGGGAATTCGTCAGGCAAGCTGCAACAAACGCCACGCCTGCTGGGCGCCGCGGTGGAGCGCGACAGTGCGGAGTCACAGCGTGCTCCGGTCCCGAGGCGGCTGTTGGGGCGGCTCCGTGTTTCGCCTGTGGAAGGAGAGCAACGTCCCAAGTGGGATTGGAAGACACCTGGACCCTGGACCTGATTTCAACCTGAAACTGGGACATGGAGATACATGACTCTATAAAAACAGGTACGACTCTACTATATACCCAATTTTTTTTCCGAGGTACTTATTAAGACAAAAACATTAATCCTACAGTGTGCCTACATGGACCTCTGAAATCACTGATCGGGAGTCATACGCTCTCACCAGTCATGCATGGGGTGGGGTCAAAGAGGACCTCCAGGTCTCCATGAGTGTTGTTTTGAAAGTTCCGCCAACCAGTTTTGTTGATATTTTGTATAACATAACTTTTATAATCAAGGGAAACCACATATCATCAGTATTCTACTTTGAAGGTGTGGGTGTGGGTGTACAGGTAATACTAATCCTACTGTGCTAAGTAAATCTCTGACAGCAAATAGGCACAAACAATTATGGATTTAAGACACATGAACAATGCAAATGCAAAGCTTCTTCATTGAAAAAACATCTTAATTTTATGAGAATATGATCATAGAATGAACAAACATAGAACGTGATCCAAGTGATTCCAAATGTATATATATGTTCGTTCATATTCTATTTGTCACCTTTATGTTGGGAGGAACATAAACCAACTAGAAAGACATCAAAGACTTTGCTTGCGGGGGTCAAAAAGAACTTTGTGAGCCAATGAATTGAACAGCAAAGGAAAGGAACACTATAGACTATAGGCTATAGTCCTTCCGCCTTTGAATGTCCTCGTCGTTCCAGATCTTCAAAAGCTGGGAGATTTCCAAGAGGACCCAGGCAGCCAGTGGGAGTCCCAAGTGAAATCTACACAAAGACCTTTTGGAGGCCGTGGAGGCGTTGTTTGGCTTTTGGAGGCAGCCTCCAATGAAAAGGCTTTTCGTTTGATACAGCAAGTTGAATCTTACAAATGCCTCCAATGAAAAGCTGTTGGCTCAACTCTTAGCATCTCACAAAACAACCAATGGAAGCGGTCAAAGACGAAGTGAAACACACCCTAGGCCGAAACGCAGGGGAAAACACCACCTCTTGACTCAAAACGTCACAATAAAACCATTGAACACCCACACTTCTGGGATACAGTGCTTGGAGTCGCAAAGAGTGGGATCAAATGCTCCACCCGTGCCTCGCGCCCTTCGGAGGTAACAAAGCGGCGAAACGGCCAAACGATCCCAAAAGAATCAAAGAATGGACCTAGATGGAGTACGGGTAATTAGGCAACGAATTCTGTCAAACATATGTGAAGTCGGATGTACAACCCCATGATGGTCGAAAACATCCTCTTCCCAGGCCAAAAGAAAGAAAAACCACCCTGTGCAGCCTGTGCACCCCGACCTGGAAGTGGGCTCACCACCTGTGTGAACATGCGACCTGCGAAGTGGTGTTGCTCGGCAACACAGAGACTGGGATGGCACTGACAAGTCCTTGGAGTCTCCAAATCACATGGGACAATGCCCCCGCCATGTCAAAAGACCGCTTAGACCAAGTACTTGCAAAACCACTGAGACTCCAGGTATCTGCATCAGAAAGCCTTGTGATGGGCCTCGAAATGTCACGTAGAACTTTGTTGTTCAGAACCTCAAAGACGTTCTCCATCGCATGGCATGCCGAGCCATGCCGAGCCTCCTCCGAGCCCCAACTTATAGGATCCTGTGAATTTCACCAATCTTCGAACCGTGCTTCCATGACACCCCAATACCCTCAAGGTTGGAACACCAAAGGCACTAAGCCCACAAAGGTTGCAACTCACTGCGGCAAATGGATCCAAAGCAACGTTGTTCCTGCTTCCACCGGAAACATCTCAAAGTGCCCCCCCCGAATGTCAATCAAAGAGCATGATCATCCAAAAACATACCAAAAATTAGCACAAAACCCATGTTGTCCCACCAGTGTCTCACCTCTCTTGGCAAAAAAAAACAACGCCACTCCACTGCCACTCCGCCTCCATCCGCGTCCGTGCGTGGCGCTGGTCGTCTGTTTTCGGCTCCGGTGAAACGCTCCGACCCGCTGGAAGAGGAGGAACGGCGGCGGAAGGGAGGATGGTCACAAAGAGGAAGATTCGCAAGACAAATGGATTGATTGATTGATTGATTGATTGATGGATGGATGGATGGATGGATGATGATCATCATCATCATGATCCTGTGGTGGTGCAGGATGTCTTCTAAGAGTAATTGATAAGCCTGGCTTCATGAAGCGGGAGTGCGTCCTGCGTCGCAAGAAGTGCTTGACGCAAAGCTCTTGAGGGGTCGCCGTCAACGCTCCGTTCCCGAGTGGTTGAGATCTCTTGTGGTGGGCTTTGGATGATTCTATCACGACTCACGGTACACCTTAATTTGTGCTCTCACGGTACACCTCCTGGTAAAAAACCTGCATGTAGCTACAGTAACCCTAGAGATCCAAATAGCTAACCCATGCTAACCCTACAGGTGGTGTGTTGCCGATGAAACCGGTGCCGATCGATTCCCGGTGCCGTTGCGCCGGGTCCGTTGAGAAGTCGTCTCCGATTCGAACCACGGCTCGGTGTCGGTGTTCGGTTCGGTACGCTTTGGCCATGACGAAGCACCGAACGAGTGTCCACACGGTGCCCGTCCAACTGCCGTTTTTTAAAGCAACTGCGACGTGTGGTGTTCACGCCTGTTGAGTCTTGCAATGCACTGGAAAGATGCATGGAAGTTGGGTGGACCACTGAACAAATCCTTAGAGACATGTAAACACTCCCTGCAATGATCATGGAAGTGGATGGCATGGCCCCTTGGATGACCATGTTTCTCTACTAACCGGTGGTTGTCCTCTTCTATGATTCCAGGGAGTATGTTTTTCTGTATCCGGATACCTCTAAATGATCCGACTCGCCACAGCATTCACCAGGCTTAATGTAGACTCTGGATTGCACCCCCAGTTTGAATTGGACATCCTCTTCATATGGGGGCTTTCATTCATCAATGATTGGTTATTCTGTTAACCCCTCCCCCCGGTCGTCCTTTGTGGTCTTTTTCCCCCCCTCCACGCTCCGCCGGCGGCGCCACACGGCCGCGGTTCCTTTTCGGCGACTTCCGTTCGCCCCGCCGAGTCGCGCTCTACCTGGGCGGGGAGGCGACTCGGGGAGCCGAGGCAGGCGGATCTGTGAGAGCCGAAGAAATGGCTGAAGACCTCAAAAATGATGAAAAATGATGGAGAAGGGACTCGAGATAAGAAAAGAGGCCTCTAGGCCCTTCTCACTTCTTCTTTGAGGCGAGCCATGAGCAACGTCATCTAGGAAATGTGTTGCAAAAGCAAACTCTTCGTTCACGAGTCATGCCAGGCTCTGTATGAGCTTTGGGTGAAATGACCCCCATCTCTGGCTCCACTCAAGAAACCAGGCATAACCGGGCGCTAGTGAGATACTAGTAAGATACTCAGAATCATGATACAAGTACCTTTGACTACTCTTGGCCAGCTCTCAGCTCAGTGGGATTGTAAGACGCCCTGGTGAGGCCCTGATCGGCTTTCTGCAAGTCAACATAAGTCAACCCTCCGAACAACATTATTTTAACTATACATGATGTGTCTGGTTCCCTTCATGCTTCTGGGCCTTCACTTCCTCCAAGATGTCCATGAAGATGCGGGATCAAAGTCCAAGCCATTCCTTTTCTGAGAGATGTGTTTGTGCATTTCTTTGTTTGAGGATCTAACGAACTCTGGATGGAGCGGATGCCTCTCTGAAAGACATCCACAATAGAAAGACATCCCAAGACATCCTTTTTTTCGGCTTTCCAACGGACCGACGTCGAGTTTGCTGGGAGCTTCCACTTGGCAGCTAGCAGCGCTTTGGCGTTCTCCAAGCGATTCTGCCGCGCGCGGTTCCGGGCCTTGCTCTCCTGGCGAGCACCCACGAGCTGGCGAGCAAGGCACCGAAGCCAATGTAGAATGTAGGAGGGCAACATACACTGGCCGAGGGCCAACAGCACAGACCCGAAGCCATGAAGAGTTTACTGGGACTGGGACAGGCTCCGCACATCTCTATCATCTATGCACTGTGTATTCATGAAAAATGTTAAGATTTCCAAGTGGACGGTTCTACAAAGAGTGCAATTTGGTTTCTTATGGTTCTTGTGGCCCAAACTTTCCCAAACTTTGTTGTAGTTGGGGAGGGATGGCATTGACCCGGGTTTCGAACAAGCTCTCACCAAACACCGAGCAACACCTCCCAAACACCAAGCAGCTCAGACCCACCAAACTGGTCCAAACTCCAAGACTAGACTCGACAGCTCGATAGACCCAAGGCACCAACCTCCAAACACTAAGTCCCAAACACCAACCTCTTCGGTTGAAGGAAGGATTCCAGGAACGAATGAACATCCCACCAAGCTCTGATGGCCCTTGTTTTCCACCGATCCATTTGCATCTCTGGCTTGGCCTTCGCTCATCTGGGCTTCACCAGGTGACAGAGCTTCAGGTGCGTGACACAGCTCACGGAGAATATGGCAAGGTTGGTCTTCTTGAGAATGGAAGGACCCAGAAGGAGCCTTCTTACAAAAACAACGACCGACCTTTACTGCCATCGACCTACACAACCAAAGCGTTTTTGTTAGCAAATCCTCAGATTCCAAAATAGCAACTTATATTCGTACCTTCCAAATCAACAGCCATGTGTGCAGTTCTTCATGTTCGATGAGCTTTGGCTGTGTCGGTGGATCATGGGATCCAAACCTAGGGTGAAAGACAGCAAACGCAGTACCGTTGTCTGGAGACGACCGTTGTGGGTCAAAAAGCATCCAAAAACCCACTCACACTCAAGACCATATTTTTGTGGTATTAAGCCTGGAAGTCCCATGAAACCTCTACAAATTTTCTTTTTGGGATTATTAGCTAACATGCTTTATTTAAGTGGTTTGACATTCCGTCTAGTCTAGTCCAAGCGAAGCATGGGTTCGCGCCAGCACGCACGCCATGCAAAAAAGGCCAAAAATGATGTGATCGTCGCCCAAAGAACCGCAGCCAGCAGATCGTCAAGCACTGCGAGCAGTCCAATCCTGAAATTCTTGGAGCGTGAAGGGTAGGAAGGATAGTGGACACCATGGGTAACACAAGTACCTGGATGAGGTATATAGTACGACCGGCTATGACCATACCAGTAGTATATAGTACCTTTGCAGTGCATAGACAAACACCGCCCACAAAAAGGTCTGGTCTACAATGTCTTGGGACCAAACCATGCGGAAGGTCTTGGGACCCCCCAAAATGATCCAGAATTCTGGAACGTGGTCTCGAAGACGAATCGGGTTTGCTAAAGACCAAATCTCGTGGAGAATGATGCTCTGATTCATCTCTTCCTCTCGGAGCGATCCCGGAGACCTCTTCATGAAGGAGCGACTTTTTTTTCAAAACCTAAAGGGGGATGAACAGAAAAACACTCAGAAGACATGTAGACCAAACATGACCAAACTTATGAATTGTGGGTTTCTGGGTACCCCCCAAAAGTCCTTGTTGAACATTGGCAATACGAAAGGCGGCCAGATTGGGGGAAGCCCAAACAAAACACATAGGGGCTGGGTTCAATAAGTCATCTTGAATCCTGTCTCCTTCCTTCTCCCACCGCCTTAGGGTGAGCTAGCTCAAGCCCTCCCCGATCAGCCCCTTTTAACAAGCTGATCACCAACACTCGCCCATGCTGAGAGTCTGCAATGCGTAAAGGCTGCCTCCAGGCACCAAGACTAGGAAAGCAGTGGCCAGGAAGGGCATCAGTGCGTCCAGGATAGGATGATACCTGACTCTGAGATCAACATCAAGACTCAAGACTTTTCTGCGCATGTTTGGTCGAAGTCTAAACTTGCTATTTACTTGCTTACTGATATATTGCGAGTGGATCTTAATCAGCGAAGTTTGAAGCTATCACTGACGATCCATAAGCGGCGTAGCGTCGGAACGGAAACCGCACCTTTTCTAGTCGCTTGATCCTTGAGCCAAAGTACATATGGTACATACATATGTACAAGTTGCACTGTACGTGTCGCTGCACTTCCATTCGCACCCCCCATGTGAACGGCAACAATATGTTCCGATCACACACGAAAATTTAGGGATGTAAGTGCTACAAAAGAAATTGTATGATTTGCCGCGAGACTCATATGAGGCTCATACTACGAAACATGCTGGACTAAAGCGGACTTTTACATATAAAGTGTGCAACTATGGCTCAGAACCTATGAAAATCGAATTGAACAAGTGAGACAGTCACGAGGCCTCGCTCAGTATCCACTCAAAAGAGCATCGCTTTGATGTAGATCCGAACTGGTGACTTCCACGTAGATGTCACATCGGCAACTGACTTCACACTTCTCAAAAGATGTAGGTTTTGGTTTGGATACACTTACAGAACGGCAAGTCGGAGAGACAGTCGGTGACTGTCTGCCTTCCATTATGCTCATGGTATCAAATCGGATTGATGACTTACAGCGTTTCAGGTCAGATAGACATCCGGTGAATGACTTCCTCCCTGGTTTGCATGGTATCCTCATAGTCGTTCAAAGAAATCACCACTGGCGATAACCTCTCCATCCACGATGATCCCAGCTGCCCTGGGCATCCCGCCGATCATCTTCTCCCTTCTTGGACTTTCCCTTGGACTTGCTCTTTCCCTTCCCCTTTTCAGAAGGTTGAGGTACTTCGCGACGTTCTTGCGTTAGCGCCGGCCTCCAAGATGTTCCAGATTGGCCTCCTCCTTTGGAATGTCCTCGGGATGATGAAGAAGTTGTACCTTCTGCTGCATGTGCGTTGGCGGCAAGATCTTCCTGCAAAGCTTGCTCAAACACATCGGTAGCACTGGATGGTGATTTATCATGTGGTCTGGCTTTTGGAGCAGCCTTCGCCTTGCTCTCCTCTGCTGATGAGGGCCCGAAACTCTTAGGTGCTGTTGAAGGTTTTGGCTCCTCACTTGGTGCTGACGACAGCTTGGCCTCGGTTCTGGGTGTAGATGCTGGCTTTGCCTCAGCTCTTGACGAAGATGCTGCTTTCGCTTCAGACTTAGTCGTTGATGTTGACTTAGCTGTTGCCTTGGCTGCCTGCTTCTTCTTGCCCTGAATCTCCTTGGCCCTATCTCCAAAGCCTAGACGATCGGTAAGAGCTTGAACATGCTTCTGTTCTACCACGCTCATCCATCTCTCTGTATGTCCAATGTTGGGATTTCTGGCCATTGACTCTACGACATTCTGAGCGTGTGGGGGCAACCTGATCTCATGTTGATCAATGATCAGCAGAATAGACTTCTCCCATTTGCTCTTCATTCTCGAGTACATGATGTCCAGAGGATCGATCACCTTGTGGTTGGGTGATGTAACGTCGGTTCTAAAGTAAGAATATGTCCGACAACCATAAATCGCATGGATGCACTTCTGTACCAATTCAGTCATTGCGCTGGCTTTCTTCGCTTTCAACTCCTCAAGCTGGACGTCAGTCAAGTTGGTGGAGTATTCGAAGTTGCCATATTCCTTCTTGAAGGAGTACGGAGTATGACCAAATGATAGGATCACGAGTGCCACCTTGCAAATGAATTGCTCTCCTCTGAATCGATGCCAGGCCTCCTCAATCGTAATCTTGTTTTCGTTGGCAAAGATTCTCATCATGTCATTTGTTGGGTCCAATGGTCTCCCATCGTCATCGATTTCAGTGAAATCCTCTGTACCGAACTTGCTTATCACATCCAGACGCTTCCTTTTCCAATTTGCTTTGAAGTCGGTAAGGCTGGTGCAATAGTAGCTCTTGTACATCAGGGAGATCATGTTCAGCACACATTTGACCACATACCTATCCATCAAACCCGATGCATTCATGGAGACGTCCTGACAGTAGGCTCTCTCTTGATGCGCATAGATTCGAGGTTCCGGTACTCGACAATAGATGGGGAGATCTTCGTTGTCTCTTCCTTCTTCGGGATTGAACTCGGTCGCTCCATGCTGTGCATAGTATCCCGGTTCATCACGATCTGTCGGTCGATTCGCCTCCGGATGTAAGTCGTCGGTGACGTCTTCATCCTCGGGCTCACCATCTTGACGTTTCTTCCCCTCATATTGTTGTGTGCTCCTCTGGATCTCGATGATCACGTTTCGTTCGTCTTCATCTTCTAGATCAGAATCACGACCGTAGTCGATCTCGTCCTCATTGAAAGATGGGGTCTCGACATTGTCACTCTTGAAGTTTTCTGCACCATCAGACGGTTTGGAAGGATCTAGATTGTCCATGTCCTCGTCGTCGTCAGCTGCTTCAGTTTGAGCGATGTCTTCTTCCCAAGCCTTTCTGATCTCGTCCATAGTGGCCTGGTCCAAGATATCTTGATCATCATCTTCAGGCTCCTTCTCTTCCTTCTTTTCCTCTTCATCGTCGCTCACAAGATCAACGGGTGAATCGGAAATGACAGTGTTGCGAATACCACACGAGAGTAGCCTGCCTTGACAAGATAGACACACGGACAAAGATGAAGAAGTCAAATGCATACATGATGGACACAAAATATTGCCATCCACGTTGCGATACCCTTCACATGTTCTGGAGATGATTTCGTCCCAAGTTTCCTCACTGATGGAATCCTCGATCAGCTCTCCATTGTCATCGAATTGTACTTCATCGATAAGGGACACGAGCTTTTGGACGTTATCATCTGTCGCCGAGGCTGACTTCGTGACTTCGTCGGCTCTCTCGAGGATGGTATGCTTCTGAGCAACCCAAAGTCCATGACGTGCCGCTAGAACAACTTGCTCTCCAGTGCTTCCCAGCAGGAGTCTCCTCCATGCCTGAACGTAGTCGTCCCAATACCAAGCACCTCGTACACATCTCCATGGAACTTCTCTAAAAACAACAGTGTAGGAATTCTCCGAAATTCTTCCCCCAAGCTTCCTCAAAGTCATGATTGGAACATAAAGGCAAACGGGCATTCCCACTCTTGGCCATCTTGATCTCAGAATCTTTGATGATCGATCATCCCACGGCGCAAAGTGGTTGAAGAAAACACTACCTCTATATCCCTCCGTTCCACCAGGGACAATTCCTAGTTTCATGATCGACTCAATATTGGAAAGCGATGTCATGTGAAAGCTTCCTCCAAGCTGCATTGCCACATTCTCTGGAATGAGATGTGAAGTCCACACAGGATATATTGACACATCCTCTTCAAGAACAGTCTCTCTTCCAGAATTGTGAGAGGCAACAGCTCGAATTGCACAAGGAACGATCCAACGTTCATGCTTCAGAAATGACGGTGCATCTGTGCTGTAATACATGAGGTTTGCCCAGTATTGCCTTTCCTCTTCGAGTGAGACATCCTCCCTTGAGATACGAACGGCGGCAATCTGATAGCGTACTCTGTTCTGCAACTTCTTTGCATGCCACATCGCCTTGCATAAATACTGGTATCGCTCTGTCTTGACATCTTGCTCACGTTGATCATCTGAGATAGTACTGATATCGACACCATCGTTGAAGACATGGTCATATTCCAGGATCTCATCGATGTTCACCCATCCACCCTCATTGCACTTCGGGGACACATGAGGTTTTCGACCGCGGTGCGATTGAATCCCATTATGCTTTCCCACTCCATGCCTGAGTAGTCTATTGAGTCTATGGCTAACCTCGTTGACCCGCTGACTCTCCTCGCTGAACTTGTCGATGCGAGTTGCTGGGTTCATCTTTGGTGGATCCGTGAAAGTTGCATCTCTCTTCGGTCCATTCCAGTACTCCACATAGAATGTAACTCCATACTGTGGAATTATCTCGATGCTTCCTCTATCGCAAGTCACCTCAATCTGCCGATATCCAACCTTTTGAACTTGTTGTGGGTCAGGAGCAAGGTCCTTCACTTTGGGCATCTTTATTCCGAGTGCTGCAGCCTCCTGAATAAGTGCATCAAGTTCCCACTTTCCATTAGGACCTGATCTATCAACCCTGTGATTTGCGACCCTGTACTCTCCTCCTTCTTTGTCATCGGCAATGTCAAAGAGGTCGACGGGCTCTTTGAATCTGGTGACGAAACTGGCGTTCCCAAAGGCCTTCTTGGTTGCCTCGACCGCTTTCGCGTATTCCTCTTTTGCAGAGTCTGACGAGTGTGGTCTACCTTTGGCTCTCGGAGAGTGAGGTGGTACCTTACCTCCTAGTTCCGGTTCTTCTTCGGGAAGTTCAATATCTTCATCATCCACATCCATGTAGTCCTCGTCTTCGACGTCTTTGGATGACTTTGCTTTCCTCTTTCGGCTTTCAACATCACGTCGGATGATTGCCTTGTCGTCCTCGGTGAAGCACTTGCGCATAGTGTCCTCCATGTGAGAGAATGAGTTCATCAACTCGTCCTTCTTCTCAGTGTTGGGACAAATAGCCAGGTGATGTTGGTTTGAACCACAACAATAGCACACCTTTTGGCTCACTGCGCGTGCTCTGACCCTTCTGAGGTTGTCATAGGCGGTTTTCCAGTTGGAAGCGGTTGCTGTACCTTGCCCACTGCGCTTGGCAGCTCTTTTCCGTTCTTCAGTATCTGGATTCGATGTCGGGTAGTGCGACCATGTTTTCGTCGGGGATACTGAACGACCTTCCCCATCCTTGTAGTCTTGCGGATCAAGCTCAGGCGTAGGTGGTTCAGGCTCCTCGACTCCTGGAGTGGTACTCGCAGGGTCGGCTTCGCCATCCTTCATCTCTACATCAGGCTCTTCCGTAGACGTTCTTTTGGGCTCTGGGGCTATGGCCAGTCGTACCATTCTCCTGAACTCTGGTCTGGTAGCATAC